ACCTAGAATAGGTTTGTCTGGCTCACTAGACCTGTATCTAGGTTTGAATCTACGATTTTATATGAGCTCTTTTGTTAATGTTAGTTGTTAATTTAAAAATTAAAATAAATTTTTTTCTTTGGGCTTCAGACCTGCATCTGTGTTATATTTTTTGTTTTCAGTTCGAGAAGTTTATGTTTGTAGATCTTTCTTTTTTTGTTAACCTTTTTTTCCTTTGATTGATTTGATTAACAAAATCAAAAATGAACCTGCAAATTATTTTCTCAACTAGTCTAGTTATTTATATTTATATATATATATATATATATATATATATATATATATATATATATATTAAAAGAATTTCATAAAATCCAGGTATTACTCAATTTTCAAGGACAATTGTGAAGAATATAATTAGTTTGCTGCCTCAAACACTAATATCCCATATATTTTATAATTTATTACATTGGAATCCTTCACATAATATTTTACCTTAGGTCTGATGAATTGGATCATTTTAAATTTTTTCCAATGTAATAAATTATTTCATCAAAAATATTATTCTGTTAAATTTTTATTTATATATATATATATATATTTATAAATATATACAGCATGGCCCAGATTAAATTTTGCCTCATCATTTTTTAATTTTTGCATTTTAACTTATTGATACAGCAATTGTATCACATCTTTAAAAACATTTTTTCATCTTCCTTTTATTTAAAAATTTCGAAATGCCCTTGTTATGCTGATGTTTTATTTTCTTTTCTTACCTATCTCACAATGCAAATTTTTTCTAAGCCAATACTAAAAACATTAAATCTGTTTACAAAAAAGAACTTAACAAAATAACACAAAATAATGTGGCACCTTGCATTATTAGAAATATTCATAGAAATATGATTTAATTTTTTTCTTACTCAGTTTACTAAACAGGTTGTTGATTTTTTTTTAAAAACGGGAAAATAACTGAGTTGAAAATAATTCACTAAGATTGTACTAGACGATCCTAAGGAAAGAAGAAGGAAAAGAAAGAAAAAAAAAAAAAGAAAAAGAAAAAAAAAAAAAGAGAAATGTATGACGCATGACCCAATTGAGGGTGGAGATAGGAGTCAGAAAGAGATTTAGGTCACCGTCTTGGCCGATTTTTTAAGACAATTGGAAGAATAGAATTATAAATAATAAGAAGAAAGAAAGGGGAAAAAAGACATGATATCAAAACGGGCCATTGATGGAAAACCAGATATCGGTCAAAGTCAAAGCATCTGACCTACTTTGCGTGGAAAGACTCATTATCAATTTGGTTTAGAACAATAGAAATGAAATTTTTTTAATCAGAGAAAAAGTGTTTTTTGGGTTGAGGGGAGTGACCGGTGGAACGATATACAGATCTTGACCTGTTAAGAATTGGACACCCACGTTAATAAAGTAGAGACATTTCAATGTAGATAATTAAGATTTTCGACTATCAGGAAAAACAAAGAGGTAAAAAGAGGGACAATTGCTTTTGGCTCACAGAGGGCGCCAAGAAGGCGGAAAAGATCCTTTCTAAAGTCAAGACTAATTAGCAGCGGGCTGTTTGACAAAGTCCAGGTGAGAGAAAGCCAAAGATTGTCATTTTTTTTTATACGTGCAAAAAAAGGAAAAATTGGATTTTTTTTTTTTTAAACAAGAACGATGTAACCACGCCCGCAAACAGAGGGGAGAGGATGTTCGATCAATAACAATTGGTCGAATACGGTCACGTGACCTGCGGAAGAAAAAGGAAAGAAATGTTCGACCAATAACAATTGGTCGAATAAACGGTCACGTGACCTGCGGAAGAAAAAAGAAAGAAATGCTCGATCAGGAACGATTGGTTGAAAAGCGGTCACCTGACATACGAGAGACTAAGAGAGATGGATGCGCCTCCCCACCAAAAGGTACTGTGAGGAAGTAGGGGTGAAAACAATAGCGATAATGGAGAAGACAGAATTAATGCAGCTTTTGGAATTATCGAGAAAACCCTGACGCCGACAGACCCACCCCAGTTTGTTGCGGCGTCAATAAAAGCAGGACCCCAGTCGACAGAAATCAGTTGGAGTTGCAGTTGGAGTTGAGAGAGTTGGGACCGCGGGCAGGGATAGAGCCTGAACGCGGGCATCAGGCCCGATTCACTCGCCCCTTTGCGGGCAGAAGAATCCTCAGACAAGAAATCCTTCCAGCCCAAGTCGAAGACAGGAGAACTTCCAGCCCAAGTCGAAGACAGGAGAACTTCCAGCCCAAGTAGACGACAGAAGAGAAGAAGATTGCCTGAAAGCCTGAGAAAAATTGAGATGCAGACAAGCCGAAAATCGATGAGAAGCTAAAGTTCATCCCACGGACGGCAGCGAGAAAAGAACCCTCAGACAAGAAGAACTTCCAGCCCAAGTAGATGAAGAAGAAGATTGCCTGAAAGCCTGAGAAGAATTGAGCTGCAGACAAGCCAGAAAGTCACGAGAAAGAAGAGCTCACCTCAGTGAGAAGAGACCACCTCACCGGCTAAGTTGAAACAAGAAATCTTCCACCAAGTTGAAACAGGAAAACTACCAGCCCAAGCAGACGAAGAAGAAGAAATACAACTCAAGTCGGAGAGAAGAATCAACTGCGAATGATCGATAGAAATTAGCCCCAGTGTCGAACTGAACCACACTCCGACATACATACATGATTCTAAAAAGTAGGTAATTCGACATTTTTAAGTTGTGTGATAGAAGCTTGGTGCCATAGTCCACAGAGCGGGTCGGGAAATGAGAACAATTTTGTTTTTATGTAACGGACTTTAAGATATAAAAGGTTGTTACCCTTTTTTCTCAATTTTTTTTTTGGTGTCGTGAGTTTTTATTTTTTTTTGTTGTTTTTGCCACCCCGTCGGACTCAACTTGTATCGGCCCCGATCCCTGCTGGTCCCGTCTGTCTAAGATCTAAACACAGCGTGGGTAGACAGACCGGAGATCGGTATAGTTGCTTTAGTGACCAGGTATTGGAAGCGAGTCGGGAAAGGCGAGGCTGGTGATCATCTGACCAAAGGGTTGGAGCGGCACGCTTGGACCCAGGAGGAGCGACCAGGAGGAGCGACGTCACCGTTGGCGCCGTAACCAAAGGATCCGACACTGGGCCAGGTGTGTAACCGTCACAATAATCAGCTTTAAAAAAAGGACTCGTAGCTGGAAAAACCAAATGATAAAAGAATGTTAACAACAAATACTTTTCCACACCAAACCAAGTTCTGCGGAATCAGAATCAACATTGAGTTTAAGCAAGTGAATGAGCCAATTGGAGTAAAGTGCCATGCCGATTTAAATTTTTCCCACTTGTGATGAATGCAGCTATTGATTTTTTTTGCATGCTAGAATGCTAGTTAACATTTGTGTCAGTCAGCTGTTGGCTCTCATGCTGGCCAATAGAATCTTCCTGCCTATTTGTGGCAGCCAGCTATTGGCTCTCACTCTGGCCAGTACAAAATGGCTGCAAACTACATGAAAACTGCCATAGAAGCATGAAAAAATCGATTATTTCCACTATCAATGGGAGTTGGGAAATGCAAGTTGGCCTTCTCACTAACTTGGAGCATGTGCATGTAAATTTTGGTGCAAATCCGTCAAAAATTGCGGCCGTGCATTCATCACACACATACACACATCCTGCCTTTTACAGATAGAGATGTATGGTTTATGAAAAATACTTTTACAAACTTTGGGTGCAGGTTCCTCACACCAAAACAAGGACAAAAGTCTACATAAACATATGTTCGCAAATCCTTCGTTTTTAAGTTATTAAGTTTAAAGAAAGTTTACGGTAGAATTAGGGACCCACCCCACAAATTTTGTGAAAGTATTTTTGAATTGTATCATGGATTGTACATTTGACAGTGTCTACAGTAAACTTTAAACTTAATAACTCAAAAATGAAGGATTTGCAGATATATGTTTATATGAACTTTGATCCTTGTTTTCATGTGAGAAAGTTTTTAAAAGTATTTTTGATACACCCTGTGTGTGTGTGTGTGTGTGTGTATATATATATATATATAATTTTCTTTTATCGAGACTTCGATGTATGAAATGAATCAAGCAGATCAGTTTCCAGGAAACCGACAGCCCGACACTGGCACATGAGATTTGATTATAGTGGTGAAGGCCTCGTGCAAGACCATCCACACTTTTTGAAGGGACGAATACAGAGACCTGGTGCACTGAGTGCCACAAGGTTCCCAAACGACCCTCCACAGGTTTTGAATTCAGAGTTGTCCTTCTCCTAGACCAGTTGCCATCCAAGGCTATAGAACACAGTCTGTCCTGCTATTTTACCCATAGCTGGAGGGAGAGGAAGAGGATTCATACCTTTCCCAAGGGTATTAGTGAATGTAATGGATTCGACTGGAATTCAAACTTGGCTCTGCGATTCCTCAATCCAAGCCGCTATCCATTACTCCATCATGCCTCCTCATCGTGTGTGTGTATATATATATATATATATATATATATTAATGCAAAGAGTGAAATGGTTTTAGGCTTATTTGTATGAAGTATATTTATGAGCTCATGTCTTTCTGGTCCAACAGTTGGCAGTCAGAGAGAAAGAGAGATTTTGTGTTTCCATGCCAAAATTGACTTTTTAGCACATTATAGGAATTCTACTTCTCTTTACTATAACCTAACAAGGCAGGAGAAGCAATTCCTGCTTCTTACTTATGAATCACTAAAGTTTAAATAAATATCTTGTTTAAAAATATCTAACAAACATGTCACTTCATTTAACATGGAAGATACTATTTGACAAACTAATTTTTTTTTGGGAGTTTGTAAAACATAAAAGATTTAAAAAAAAAAAAAACAAACACCTGAAAAAAATTAATGAAATAATGATGGCTCATTTTTGCATTTCAGATAATGAGGAAGGCTGGACAATGCACCGGCTGAATAGTTAAGATAAAAACAATTAGGAAGAAGATACTCATCTGAATAACTTGTGGATTATTGACAATGGCTGATCAGAGAATTTCAAACAATATCTCTTTTCGTTTCAACTTGCTTTGTTTCCAAAAACTTTAACGAAGATTGCCAACAGTACCAGAAAAATCCTGAAAAATTCCGGGAAACTCTATACCTAAAAAAATATAACATTCCAGATGAAATTTACACGTAAGTTTACAAAATTTGAATCACTTTTCAGTTTCAGAAACTTAAATTTTATTTCAATATTCACGCAAAGTCTTATGTTTTGAAATTGAAATGACCTCAAATTCGAATGATGAAACAAAATGAAAAAGGGGAACATTACAAATAGAGCTACTTTAATTCAACCTTTGGATTTAAGGTCAGAAAAATGCAAAAATTGACTCATTATTTTTTTTTTTTTTTATAAAAAATAAACTGGACAAAACCTTGAATAAAACATTTAAAAGTGTTATTTAATGATAAAAATGTTAAATTTCTTTCAAGAAGTTAATTTTTTCTACATTTTCTTTTTGATATTTTACACATTCAATTATCCAAATTTTTAATTATTTGAACATATTTTTTTTCAATTCCTGCCCTAAGCTGTCTGGATAATCAAGGAAGTACTTGTCTATGGTACAATAAAGATGATTTGTGTTCGAATTGAAGGGGAATAACTCTTGATATTAAAATGAATCTCTTCTTAACAAAGATAACAAAAGACTAGATTTTACTTAATATCTTAATTCTGTTTGTTTATTTATTAACACATTCGTTACTTATTTCCTGTATCTCATAAATAATAAACTATTCCGTTTTGATTGAAAGGAAAGGCAGAAAACGCATGTATTGGCCTTATCTATGATAAGATAAAAGTTGGTGGATGTTCGAATTCAAGGGGAATTACTCTTGACATAAAAATTCAGGGGAAATAACTCGTGATATTGAAATGAATATTTTTAGGAAAAGATAAAAACTTCGACTTTACTAAATATATTAAAATCATTATATTCTATTAGGTGTGAACCAGGGAAGAAATTGTTTTTAGTAATTGACCTTCGGCTCTTAAAAATTAAAAAATATTACAACTAAAGCATAGATCTTACGAAATATGTTATTTTACATGGAGTATAGAAGCAACAATTCTTCTATATGTCACATCTCTTCAGAACATAAGTGATCATGGTTCTCCACAACCTCCTATCTCTTGTAGTACTAAGCAATGTTTTTCCTTTTACTATACTTCCCTGTTCATGTTCTGCCTTTATTTACTCAATCTCATTAAGTAAGTTACTTGATGTCTCTCTTTGATCTTCTTGCATTAAATGTCCTGTGAGTGTCTAATTCACCAAGCCTTCTTTCCTCATTATGTGTCCCAACAGTCTGTTTTTAATTTTAAATAAAAGTACCTTTTTGTCCCCATTTTACTTAAAACGTCTTCATTGATCGCATGATCTGTCCATGCTATACTCAGCATCCTTCTGTAGAACCACATCCGTTGTGACATATCTCTTCATCTGTGAGAAGATTGGACAATGTTCACTATCATATACTGATATTTCATAATAGTTCAGCAATCTTTTCTTTTTTCTAACAAAATTTCATGTTTCTTAATACTTTGCTTAGATTTTGGAAGGAATCTTTTAGGTACTGTATCCTTTCAGAATGTTGGGGCTCATGGCTCTCCACAACTTCCTATCCTTTATTTATCTTTTTAATGTTCTTCCTATTTCCTCATTGTGTCCACTAGAAATTTCAATCATCTCTTTCTGATTCTAAGTATAAGTGCCATTTTTGTTTCCATTTTCCTTAAAACTACATCGTTACTCATTCATCTTGTCAACAGTATTCTCAGCATCCTTCTGTAGAACTACGTCTCTATTGCCACAAGTCTCCTCTTCAACTGTCATATAGGAGGACTGATATGACATCATAGTTCAGCAATTTTTCCTAATGCAATTTTCCTCTCTCTTAATAATTTATCTCTTTGTTTCCATTTTCCTTAAAACTTCATTATTATCTGTCTATATCTCTGAGATGAGGTATTATGATTCTTTACATTATTCGGACTGTTATCCTCATCTTCATTGCCATATTCACAACGTTTCAGCCATAGTATGTAAAATTTCCTTTTATGTCTATGTCTCTATATATCTGTCTATATTTCTGAGATGAGGTATTATGATTACTTGCATTATTTACATTATTCAGACTGTTATCTTCATCTTCATTGCCATATTGATAACGCTTTTATCTTATGTCTATGTCTCTCTCTAAATATATTTGTGAGATGAAGTATTATGATTACTTGCATTATTTACATTATTCAAAAAAATTATCCTTTCTTCAAAAAAGCGATATTCAACAAATCAATTGGCCATTGTACACAAAAATGTCTGTGTTTCTCTATATATCTGTCTATATCTCTGAGATGAGGTATTATGATTACTTGCATTATTTACATTATTTAGACTGTTATCCTCATCTTCATTGTCATATTCACAACCCTTCGGACATTGTACGCTCCAGCCCTTTTCAGGTGATTGGAATTTCGAACTGAACCCATTATTTCGTCCACCGGGGTAGATTGTTCTAGTTCCACATGCCATACCTCTTCCGGGTGTCTCAGTTATTTCCCTTTAACTCAGCTCTCCAAGTTTTTGCTCACCACTGCTGTGGCCTGGAATAACTCTTCGGGTTTAGTCACATGCTCTGTCCATGGTATTCTCAGCATCCTTCTGTAGAACCACATCTGTTGCCTAAACTTTTCTCTTCATCTATGAGAACATTGTTCAGCATTCAGTGCCATTGAGGATGATTGATATTATGTAGAAGTGGAGCATTCTTATCTTTGTTTCCAGTGAAATTTTCCAGTTTCCTTTGTTTAGCTTTTACCAACCATCTTTCATTATTCCAATGTCTACAGATTTCTGTATCATATTTTCTGTTCTCTGTTCTAACACTTCCCAGATAACAATAGTTTGTTTTTTTTTTATCTAATTTACCTTATCTAAGGAATTATTAATGATAGATTTAACAGAAACAATGTCACATTAAAAAATGTTTTGTTTTTTTTTTTTCCTCAAAATGCCAGCAGGTTTAGCGATTACTTTTTACTGATTTTAACAATTTTGGGGTGCTGAATCCAAAAATAACATCCATTTTCCACCATTAATTTTAGTTTCTTGGTTCCTGAACACAAAATCCTATTCAGGAAATAGTCAGGATTTTGGTTTGTGTCGCTGTAAATGGGAAGAAAAAATAACCTTAGATAAAGTTTAAACACAATGAAATACAAAAATATAACACAAGAAATGATTAAAGTTCAAATATTGATGGCAATTGGTCATCGTGTCAAGAATATTTACTTATTCAGTTTTTGTGAATGTTTAGTACATCGCTCTTGTTTTAAATTCCAGCGGTAATCAGCTGCAATTTTTTTGTCTTCTTCTTGCTTGATACAATTCCACCATAATGTTAACATCCTGATGGAATCCCTAACATCAACTAATTCTTTGATAATTGATATTCCGCAAACCTGACAAAACTGGTTTCCCCCACCAGGCTTTTCTGGTAAAGAGAGAGGCTAGACATCCAGCAGGATTACAGTCAGGATGGATGAACCATTTTGTAGGACCATATTGCACAATAGAGTGAACTGGGCTTCATAGTTAAATATACAACCAATAAAGTAATGACACATCATTTCTGGGTGGAGGGCATTGGCTGTGATCTGACCTGGAGAGGGATGGGCCCTGCCAAATCTACTTGCCTAAAACATGCTACACATGAATTAATACCTCTTTCGTTTTCACAAGTGGATGCAATTGGTCAGATGCTCAGCTGTGACCCTACAACCACACCCAGTTATGGGACTGATGATGATGATTCTCCAAACAGAACATCCTAAAAAGTCACCCCTTACCATACTCATTACAAATTTGTCTATTTTCTTTATGACTCTTTTTATGTGACCATGTCAGTTCAGTAGCAAGCAGAAGGGGTGGGGCAGAGGGTGTGACGGCCCCAGGCATCCAATCAAAGAGTGAAATAAAAATTTTGTTTTTGAAACTGTCTCTGTTAACTTTGTTTTACAAGCCCCCTACAGTCCCAGAAGCTGGTGTAAATGTAGATTTGTGTTTTGAAAAATGAGACTGGGGTAGGTCTGCTTGAGTTTTAGGGGCATGCAATCAAGGATTTGGCCCTGGGCATTACCAAACCTCTGCATATCACTGTGTCCGTTTGACAAACCCAACTTCGTATTTATCTTCTTGGCATCTTTTTACCAGTCTCCCCCCCCCAAGCTGTAATGGTTTCAAAATGGATTTACATTTGTTTATCTTGCAGCACAATCAGTCATAGCCTTAGCCGCTTTGTTAGTCCTGAAGGATTATTTAATACAGATTTATGGGGAATGGATTATCCAACTATACAATCCCTGGTGATGAATGCTATTCAAGCTTGCCCTCTGGACAACAGACGACACCTGTGCAGGTAATTAATTCCTTTTTACCTTTTCATTATCTTTCTAAACTTAAGTTAGTAAAACAAAAATATATATAAACAAAAAAAGGTAGAAAATAAAAAAATGAAAACTCACTGATTTGGTTTGAATGACTACAGCACATTTTTATAGCAGTCTCTTTTTTGTTTAGATTTACTAATTGATATTTAAATTAGCTTTTTTGTTTAGATTTGACAAAAATTCACCACGATTCTTAATGGGTCAACACTACGATCATTAATTGAAACCTAAATATTCTCTAGGTTCATAGAATCTTTGTTTAGTTATTTTTATTTTACTCATGTCAGAGGTTTTTTCTTTGGACTCTGAGCTTGGATTCTGGTTGATTATTTTCACCAAAATTACATTTTCCTAGTTCTTTCTTTTTTAATTCTTTGGGTATTGGTTTGTTCATTTACAAGCCAATACACCTAAGGTTTTTCTGGATGAGTATACTTACTTATATTTATAAGATTATAATACTCAAGTTCACCCCAAGTAAGACAGTAAAACCACTAAGACACAAGGGGGTTACTGGGTATGGAAGAATTAGTTTCACACATGTACGGACTAGAATATAATAAATGTATCACCTGCAGAGAGATAAGACATATAGACCCTACTGTCTGCAATGTATGTGAGATTGCCCCCTCTTGTCTGGTGGCTTATGGCCATATCATGTTGAAACCCAAGTTCCTATACAAATCACTGAAGTTAAGCAATGTCAAGCCTGGTCAGCACCTAGATGGGTGACTACTTGAGAATACTAAGTTCTGTAAGGTTAGATGTGTGCATTGGATAATGGTTAGGAATTGTTAATCAGAGAGCTGAGTTTCAATTCCAGTTGGGTTCCTTATATTAATTTACATGCAAATACACGTGCGAAAGGTGTGAATCCACCTCTTCTCCTCCCAGCTATGGGTTAATTAGTAACTTATCAGTAAATCATTATTATCTCCCCCCAATTTTCTGGCTTTAAATAACCTGCAAAACACAATTCAATCTTCTCCAGAGCTGTTTACATATCTATCTGTCCAACAGTTTTTCTCAGGTGTGCACACATCAGGCACAGCCTTGCCGACAGGTGTTCACCTCTTGAGACTATTACTGACAATAGGTGAACTGAAGATCTCCATCCTTGGGTGGAGTTCATCGCAGGTTAACTCTGTATCCAGCTTTCTTTGACGGTCTGATATGAAATTGAGAGGCCAAACCTATTTCAGTATGATACTGCAATATCAGACATCCTGTAAACCTGACCTAAATCTACAAGCCTTTTCAAAATTAAATTCATGCTTTTTTACAATCATTTTATCATTGTAAATTATTGCAAAAATCTCATAAAAGTTTTTGAGCATCCTCAGATCCTCCCACCCAAATCTTGAATATGGGAATTTGCAAATGTTTTTCCCATAAACATTAATGGTAAATGCTTCTTCACTTTACACCTTTTCAGTTTAGAAAAAATTTCATCAAAGTATCATTGGGGAAAAATTTAATTTGGGAAGAATTTAATTAGAAAAATATGAAAAATTTAATTGATATAAAATGACAATTGGAAAAAATCTTACATTTTGCCAACGCATTTCGTCTTCTTCAAGGCAAAAATGAAATTGAAATGTTTTTATTGTTATAGTTACATTAAAAAAATCCAAATTTAAAAAGATAGATGCTTCTGTCTAAGCCTTTTTTTTTTTTTGGTTAATGTTGTAAATTACCTTTATAGTAAGGGATTTTTTTTTCTATGTCGACAATATAGTTAAATTCCCAGATCAATTCTGTGGACAAGACAGATTGGTATAAAATAACAATTGGAAAAAATCTTACTTAAATTTCCAGATCAATACAGTTAATAATAATAGCAAGATAATCATGTAATTGTTTGTTTTTTTTAAACAATCTTTTTGTATTCCAGATCCATTTATTTGAGCGGGGGAGTCACATTACTTCCTGGGTTTGCCAGCAGACTTGAATCAGAATTACGCAAACATCTTAATGAAACTATAGTAATACAGGTGAGAGGCTTTTATCCCACATTGATTCCTATATGTTGGTCAGTTGACATGGAGAATCATTATTTAATTACTCAGAAATATATGTATAGAGATTCAAACAATGGAAAAGCTATAAATGTGTTTTTAGCGTTTCCATTTTGTCATATATATATATATATATATATATATATATATATATATATATATATATATTTAAATTCAAAACAGACCACTTTTTAAAATCCATGTAATAAATTTTTTATTACATGGAATCTTAAAAGGTCTGTTTTTATTTAAATTATTTGGATCTGCCATTATCCTCTTCAGGTTTACCCATACGGATTACATAGTTTTTCATATATATATATATATATATATATATAATAATATGAAATGGACAAAAGTCCGACAATTATTTTTTTTATTTTTTAAGACATTTATGTTTATACGTTCTTTTTATAGATACAAATATTTAAGTAAACGCTCTGTTTAAAATAAACAATATTAACAACATTTACCAGCCTGAATGTCCGAGAACTTTTCACAGAAAATATTTGTCCTCCAACAGGAATCGAACCTGTATCCTATACGGAACCATCATTTAGCTTGACGTGCCTTTACCGATTTGGCATGAGAACAAGGTTCAGTTAGCCAGGTCGAATTTACTGTATTTAAACTTCTATCTTCCAGGAATCTTTCACGTACATTCATATCTGCTCATGGCGCATCCAAATGTAAACAAATGATGTCACACATTATGAAATTGTAAATGTTGTTAATACTGTTTATTGTTTAGGCATTTACAAAATATTTGTATCTATAAAAAAGAATGTATTATATAAAAAATAAAAATATAAATATTTATATAAAAAATATATATATATATATATATATATATATATATATATATATATATATATATATAAATATATTTATTATATATTTATATTCAAAAACTACACTGTTACATTTTGTAAATATCCATTACAAAATTGTACATTTCTTCAGGTGGCTAACAATGATGGCACTAAACAATTTTATTCAAAATTGTGATTAATGAAACACTACTTCACTTTCCACTTTTGGAAAATTTTCCATAAAAGGTAAAAAGGATTTTTATAAAGAAAAAGGAAAGAAATCAAAAAATAAAGAAAAAAAAAAAGTCAAGAGAAAGTATAGGAAATTAACCCTACTACCAAGAGATAAAGACAAAAAAGAAAGGTAAGAGAAATAGAAAAGTATATTCCAAATTTACCCAGATTCATAAGAAGAGGAAAGTGAAGATAGGAAATAGAAAGATGTTGAAATGAATTAAACCAATGAAATTGAATCTGAGAATTCAAATATGAACGGAAATTCAGTGTGAATGGATACACTATATCTACATGTTGCATTTACAATTCTATAGCGTTTGTATATGAAGTCCTACATTCAAATAAAATTATACACAGAATGAAAAAATTTCAAGACATTTGCAGTAGCACTTATAGCCAAATAAATATAAACCTCATCAAACCAAGTGACAATTGATTAATTTCCACTATCCCCTACGACAGAAAAATGAAAATTGATATCTTACCAAACTCTTTGGATCCTGTCACTGGATCTAATTAACACCTTTATCCATTGTGTCCTTGAGGAATTAACATAACATAATATGGCGACAGAGATGAGGACAATAGTGTATATATATATATATATATATATTCTTTATCTCTGATAATGATTCGAGCCTAATAAGTACAATATTTAATATAATATATTTAAATAATTATACATTGTTAACAAATACAATTTAACAGTTGACACAATATATATATATATATATATATATATAAATTTTTATTTAATTTTATTGATTTATCAATGGTTTTATCTCATAGAACTTTTTTTGTAACGATATTGGGCAAAGTGTTGTTGACAGTAGGTGAGGTGTGAAAATAAAAACAAATATCACTACACTCACCATTCATCTCCGCCTATTCAGCTGATGATTGAAGAAAGTCAAAAGCTTGGACCACATTTCTTCCAAAATGAACTTTGGACAATTTCTGGAGGGATGTCCTTATTTGGCAAGGATTATTCATAATTTAGGAAAAAAAAACGGTCAATAAAATTAATATCATCTTTAATAACACTAACGATGGCTATAAGGTCTTACAAAGGGCCTGTTTCTTGCTTTATGGAGTTTCATTACACAATGTATCATTTGTTTATACAGTAGATGCCTGGAATGGATGGTTCTGTAGCCATTCCAAGCATTAGTGATTAAATTTGCATTAAATTATGCAAAGATAATTATTCATAGCACCCAAGTGATACCAAAGATTTAAGTTTTTTTGTTTTTAATCATTTCAGGTTCACACCTCACCCCAAAGATATCATGCTGCTTACATTGGAGCATGTGCATTATGTTCTATGTCAGAGTTTGAAAAATCCTGTATAACCAGTGAAGAATGGAAGAAAGATGGCAGTAAAGCATTCCTAAAATGGAAAATGACATCTTAAAGAGAAATAATACCTTTGGACTCAATTCTATCCTGATTATTAATCGAATGAGTTATAAGCATCTTTTTTTTTCTCATTTGGAGACAGAGTTACATATACCAAGTATCAGTTTAAATCTAACGAATTGTCTCCCTTTAATTTTTTTTTATTGTTGAGTCGTTTTGATAACTGTTACTTTATTATTTCTGTTTTTAACCCCCTTCACTCGTTTTAATTAATTTTAAAATTTTGTCTGTAAAATTTATATCTACAATAGTTCCGTTTGTTTCATGTGTATGTTGAAAAAACAAAAAAAACAACCTATATTTCTCGAAACTAGTGTCTGTAAGTATTCTTTAAGAAATCTTTCGAATATGTCAATCATGACTTCCTTAAAATCACTTCCAGTTTTTATTAAGTGGAACTTAAATTCATACAGTGATTTAAAAAAAAAAAAAAAAAAAAAAATGATGGAACACAAGACTGACACAAGAATTTTTTTTTGTCTCTCAAAAATCAATTAACAATTTTAATTGAAATTTCTGCTTTAGGTATTAGAAAAATTCATAATTATTAGTAATTTTTATTCTGTTTATTTTTCATTTAAAATTAAATCAGTTCATTTATACTAAATTTTAGAAATAAAAAAAAACAAATTTAAGAAAATTAAAATACTTTCTTTATATTTATTTGTAAATAAAATGATTTTAAAATAAAAATAAGGTTATTTGGGGAAAATTTTATATTCTCGTTTTTTTTTAAAAAATTTAAGAGTATGTGCAAACGAAAACTTCAAATGTTTTTAAAACTTTTTCGTCTCCCATTTTACAAATAATTATCGTGTGCTTTTTTTCATTAAATTCTAAACTGCTGATAAAATTCAATTAAATTTTTATATTTTTAAAATAGAATAATTAAGAAATTTTTCTTCTACTTTCTTCTTTTAAATATCTCCCCTTGTAATAAATAAATTTTTAAAATAATTTAAAAAATTCGTATTTCAATGCTAATTTTGTTCGACTAATCAAAAATAATAAAATAATGTTCCAAATTGCTTTGTTGATTTTTTTTTCTTTTTACTTTAAAAATAATCTTTTTCAAATTTTAACATGGATTTATGATATTTTCATAAATATTTAAATCCAAGGTCAACATTGTAGGTTTGTAGAACAAAGTAACATTTCAGTGGATTGGTTTGTCACCGAGAAGCTAACTAATCAAGGTTTTCTCCAAAAAGAAATAAATAAATAGTGAATAAGCTTTTGAAACTAATCAAATTTTTTTTCATCATGTTTTTAAACAGGAGTGAAAATGAAGCAGAAAAAGAACGAATGAAGAAAAA